GAGCAGCTGCAGTAAATGATCTGTCCCCAGTTACAAAGAGTGCATTTGGACTTAACGGTATGGTCTTGGTCTTGCAAAGTACCGCCCACATTACTCCGCAGGTTATAGCGAGGACATCGTTTAGTATTGATGAGATTACTTAAATACACAGGCGCGAGATTGTGAATAGCCTTGAAAGAGATCACAGCGATTTTATAGCAAATTCTAAACTTTACCGGTAACCAATTTCATTTCAAGCAGCACTAGGGTAATGTGACAGTATCTGGGTGTGTGGGTGATAAGTCGCGCTGCGGAATTCTGAGGACGTTGCACTTTGCATTTGAAAGATGCACAGCTGGTACAGCATAGAGAAGACAGTTGCAATAATCAATGCGTGCTATGATCGCACCTTGTACAAGCACTTTGGAAAGACATTTAACTAAACAATATTGTTAATTGATTGATAAGCCACGGTGAGAGCAGTCGACACGTATATTGAAAGGATTATGACAACGAGGTTTTATAAATAACTAATAAAGGTTAGACAAAAATATTTTGCGAAGAGGGTGTTTTTTTTTTCCACAGTTGATGTTAAAAACTCATCGACATCGTGTTTTTATAGACAGAGCGCCAATTAAAGGCTTCCACCGTGACATTATTGATTTTTGCACGAAAAAGGTCTTAATGTCAATTGACTTAGAATAACGAGTAATAAACAGTCTGAACAACAACGGGACTGTGAGAATCAAGCTCAAGGTTTTCAACGCTCCGGAGCCGAGACGAAATTTCTCTTTGGAACATTTCTTTTTCACATCGTGATCACTATATCGTTTTTTTCCTTGCTTTATTCACTAAATAACTTTGCGCACTCTTTTTAATGCAGTCATACTTCGATACTCTTCGGCGTTACGTGTTATCAGTCACATTCTGTGGAGCAGTTGTTATGAAAGTTATGGATCAGAAGACACTCGTTAAGCGCAGATGAAGTTATAAGGTGCGTATAACAGTGTACATTTTAACACCAAGTGAGTCTTGCCAGACACGAGTTCACAACTCTTTGATTGGAAACCTTGCCAGACACTCTTTCTCTTTCTTTGACCGGAATAAGACTCGGCCCCAAACAAGCACGAAGAGTGAATGATTCAACGGCTAGCTTATCACTAGCAGAACGATGGACGATTACAGAAATTTGCCCATCATCAAATTCTGTGCTGACTTATTCCCTGCTCACAGATGTCCCTCCGCTATAAAGTTTGAAATAAGGCTAGAATGCGCGAGCGTGATTTGATCAAACGTCCTTTTAATTTCTAAGGCTTAGTTTCCGGCAAATAAAATGAACTAACCGTAAAAAGTGAAATAGAAATAGCGAAAAATTAAACTTCTAATTAGATTTTTTCTTATGGTTTTATAGAATAAACTATTCTCGAAACTGAGAATGTTTTGATCAAAGCTGTGTAAATCGAACCGAAACTGTGCATGGAACCTTGCGTTTCCTGAATTTATCTCACGTATTGTATGGAATAATATGTGTGAACATCTTCATTATGAAATCAATATATTTCAAAGAGCTACACAACGAGCAAGAATACTACAGCCCGACAATATACAGAGCGGGGGCAGCTTTAGTGTCAACTATTACCAGTGATATATGTTTTATGGACATCTGAGTTACCGTGACAACGTAATGACGTCATTACGTATTCTACTTACCTTTGTATTTCTCTGTAACAGGACTTTTTCTTGCAAATCGCCTAAGGGAGCTTGTACCTCCCTTCACTGCCTAAATAGTCCAGTTTCGAATTCGTCGAGGCCGCTGAATGGAAGCACTGAAGACTCGTTTAAACAGTGCTAGCCTCAGGACCTAAGGTAAATATATTCGCAAATTCCAGCCAGAAGAAGACCTGTGTACAACTGTGTCTATTGTTTGAAACTTCAATTCAGGCACCTTCTCGCCGGTAATTGTGCATATTTTTCTTTAAATTTGCAAATTGTAAATTGTAATTTGTTTACCCACGAAGCACTTAGGAGTTCATGAGAACTCGTTGAAACGTGTCCGTGCGTTCCAGATCGAATTGGAATTTGGAAGTGTTGGTTTTTGAGGAAAAGGGAAAACCTGAGTATCCATAGAAAAACCTCTCGGAGAACCAACAACAAACTCAGCCCACATTTGAAGTCGACGCCGGGATTTGAACCCGGGCCACATTGTTGGTGGGAGGCGAGTGCTCTCACCACCGCCCCACCCTTGTTCCCCAACTGGCTCGAGGCTAACCCTGCACAAATAAGTCTTCGGCGCCTTTATTTAGCGACCACGACGAATTAAAAACTGGACTGTTATGATTTCTGAAAAAACTCCTGGTACCAAGAAATACAAAGGCAGGTTGAAAAGGAAATGGGGTCATTGCATTACCATGGCAACTCCGATATCAATAAAACATGGGTCATAACAAATTTTCATCTTTTTATGGTACAACTGTACGTAACATTTTTCTGATATCTTTGGGAATGCTGAAGTCAAATGCTCAAACTTAAAGTTCCTTTTCGGCTAGGTTCGACTTGGTGTTTGCTTTTTCTCCCACAAGTTTTAAAGTGTTGGTCCATTCGTAAATAGGGCAAAAATAAAATAAAACGTTTTCGAAAAATCACAGTGAAAGGAGGTGCATAAGTCAGCCTATCAAAATTTAGAACCATAGGAGTAGCGAAATTGTCCTTTTTCATATTTCAAACCGATACTTTCTCGGTTTTTATCGATTTTTATTACTGTGGTTTGTACTGTCGCACTTTGTAATAATCGTCGCACTTTGTAATAGCACTTGTCGCACTTTGTAATAAACTTGAAATAGGTGATCGGAGGACAAGTAAACCCAGTAATAAGTGTCATCATCGACAACAACAACAACGACAATAATAATGATGATGACAATAATAATAATAATAATAATAATAATAATAATAATAATGTTTTATATGGATGATCTAAAATTGTATAGCAAGAACGAGCAAGAACAAGTTGGAGAACTGAAAATAGTGAAACAATTCAGTGATGATATTGGTGTGGAATTCGGACTTGAGAAATGTGCCAAAGCCAGTTTCATGAAAGGTAAACTGGCCTCAACTGGAAACATAATAATAGATGATGACACAGAAATACAAGAGTTGGACCAGGAAGGAGTATACAAATATCTGGGTGTAGATGAAAGTGATGGTATCCAGCATAGCAAAATGAAAGAGAAGATACGAAAAGAATATAATAGGAGAGTAAGTTTAATCCTAAGAACTGAGCTCAATGGAAGAAACAAAATAGAAGCTATCAATAGTCTTGCAGTCCCAGTTGTGCAATATAGCTTTGGCATCATTGACTGGAAAATCTCAGAACTGAAGAAGATTGACACAAAAACACGCAATCTATTGAACATGCACAAGATGTTACATCCTAAAGCAGATGTGGAAAGGCTGTACATCCCAAGAAAAGATGGAGGTAGGAGCCTCATTGATGTAGAAACAGCATTCAAAACTGCAACAATAGGGCTTGATCACTATCTGAAGCACAAGGAAGGGCAATATCCAAAGCAGGTGCTTGAACATGAAAGATCTAAAGCCAAAAATTCAATATCCAAGAATGCTACAAAATTCAAAAGGGAAGTAACAATGCTAGAGATTGAGTACAGAGAAGATAAATCTGCCTCTGAAAATGCTAAAGCCCTGAAACACGTGTTTCACCATTACCAGAAATCGGCGACATTTTGCGCCCGCGAAGTATTTGGCACGCGGTTTCAAATTATCAAGATGGCGGCATAAAGAAAGCAGTAAGTATAAAAAACAAGGACTGAAATGACACACTATCAAAGGATCTGAATCAATTTAATTTCTTTTTTGAGGTAGTCAATACAAGGGAGAATGAAAAAGGGGAAACTAGAGTCCGGGCTCCTGTTCGAATGACGATTTTAGAGAGAAGAAACAACTTCGTTTCATGCGTGACTTGGCAGAGTAAAAATAATTTTCAAAAATCAGGGCCCACAGTACACTTAGCCAGCGATATTCTGTATAATAATAATCATATATGAAGTACCTACCTGTAAAGATGGCGATCAAAACAAACTGGAGACAGAAACCCAAATTTTCACAAGGAATAATAAGCGCAGTGGTGCGTTTTGTACCGCTTTTATGGCAGAAATGGATGTATTTTTACCTCTTTTATCGCCAATTTTGCGGCCATTTGGGGAATGGATCAAGGCTTATTTTTATCACGTTTTAAAGTTTGAACATCGATCGATGATTAGAGAGGTCGGCACCAAGGATTCACATCAACGAAATGTTCTAAAATGTGGAGAGAAGGTAGGCACCTCTAAGCTTTTTTGAAAGGATTAGAGAGCTCAAGGAACTGTAACAGCCGTTCGTAAAATGTGTTGTTTGCGGCCCGTTGGCGAACTTTCGAGAGACCAAAACTACCGTAAATAATGATATGGTACGTACACTTTACATTTAGAGGTCGGCAAATGTCGTGTGTGCTACGTTAGATCTGAAATTTCCACTTCTTTAATTTTCTCCATACATTTCTCTATAACGATCGGCGGCCATTCTTAGAGAGCGGAAGGTCTGGGTCGAGTCTGGGCGTCCGCCATTTTGTCTCAAATTTCTGGTAATGAGTAAGTCCAGGATGAAGTCAATGAAAGAAGAAAAGTGGAAAAACAAAGCATTGCATGGCCAGTAAGCAAAGATCCTAGAGAAGCCTCATGTAGACACAGTCACCACCAACAAATGGTTGTCAAGTAATTTGAAAGGAGAAACAGAGGGACTACTTGTTGCAGCTCAAGACCAGGCAATAAACACCAGAAACTACCAGAAAGTAATATGTGGCCATCAAGTGGAGAGCAAATTCAGATTGATTGTGTTCGCAACATGAAGAGACAGTGGACCATATTGTATCTGGATGTGAGGTATTAGCCAAAACAGAGTACATCTCCAGGCACAAAAATGCTGCAGCATATCTCCATTGGAGCATATGTAAAGATCATGATATAGAGATGTATGTATGTATGTATGTATGTAAATCTTTATTTAAACACGGGAAATCATCAGTTAAGCTTAAGTTAAAAACTAAAACTAATTACAACTGCTTTACATGATTGCCGTGTGGGAATCCGATATATCAGCTACCTTCTTGATATTTCGCTTAAAATGCTCAACGGATGCAGCGTTTTTTAAGTTTTTGGGCAAGTTATTCCATAACATGGCCCCGCTGTAAGAGAAGCTTCGTTTC